ACTGGAATGCAGCACTTTGAACATTTTAGGCCTAAGTGACCTTGGTAAAACAATGTTTTCTCCTTTCATTATTAAAAAAAAACAATAATAAAGATCATCAAGGTAGAGGGACATGCTACGTACGAAACAACAAAAACATAAACGGGCCCACATGGAAACCAAAGGGAAAAGGGCTATACGTGTGAAAAGGTGGAGGTACAAACTGGGAGAGGGGTGAGAAAATGCTAACTGTAAACGACAATTAAGTAAGGAAGACATTACAAAACATGCAAACATTCGAAACAAGTAACAAAACAGACATGTGAAACACGTGAAGAAGCACAGAGGTGTACCATCTTAGAACGGTCGGTGGGAGTTACAACACTGGGGAGTTTAAACCGGGTTTAGGTGCGCCAAACCTTTTTATAAGCCCTTATATTTTCCAATATGACAAACAAGTTTAAATAAAAATTAATCCCCGCCAAGTGAAATTCTTACATTGTCATGGTTACATAAGACGAAAGAAATAAAACACATAAATGATCGTGTACATATGTACAAAATGATACAGCCTAATGACCAAAATACTCGGTGACAGAAGGCAGAGCAACAATAAAATCACCTACAAAGGCCCAACAAAGCTATACAGAAGACGAATTTAAGACAAGTCAGTCCCAAATGGCTTTACGAAATGTCCATCATATAGTCTTCCCCTTAGTCCGTCAAATGTAATTAAAAGAGGAAAGCGTAGCTTCCAACTATCAAATGGTTGAACACCAAACATGTGGTATACCTTAAAATAATTGAGTCATAACCTCTTTTAATAAGCCGTTTGATAATTTTAGTGAAGACAACAGAAACATTACTATGACCCTACGACGTTTGTAAACCACCTCGCCATAGAAATAAAATCAGGCTTGCTAATACCTAGTCGTTAAAAAATAATTACAATTAAATTCTAAAACTAAATCTAAATTACGATGGTAAAACTTAGCAAATATTTTAAACATAAATCATCTCTATAGTTGTTCAAAAGGGCAGTAATTAACTGATGACAAACTGTTTTTTACTTCCATTACATTATTAAAAAAATCATGGGAAAAACATCATTTTCTACTGAGACAGTATATATTGTGCACCCAGATGACTTGAATGCAGCTCTTTGAATATTTCAGGCCTAAGTGATCTTGGCAAAACAATGTTTTCTATTTCATTATAAAAAACAAGAATAAAGATCAACAAGACAATACGTAATGTGCTAAAATCAATGATCCCAAAGTACTAGGAAAAAATAAAAACATGAAGTCATGTATGGGGCAACTTTTGCAGCTTCCATATGGCACTTGACATCTTTTGCAATGGATGGTAGTTAATTGTTTTAATTGTTCTATATGGATAGAGGGAAACATATGTATATACATAGTATACTGCATGCAGTTAACTATGTAACTATATATAACAGGGAATAGCAGTCCATACTTCTCTTAAGTATATCATAATTATGATTATAAAAAATACACATAAACATCAATCAAATAAACAAAATGGGTCAAAAAAAGAAATGGCCGGGTTGCATTTGTATTCCAAACATCTTGAAACTGTGATGTTATGAAAAAATTCTACCAATGACCATAATTGACGAAAATTTAATAAGTCGGTAAACATAAATTGGATTAGCGACTGACCTGAAATCGAATGCCACTTCATGGGGCCACGTGTAAATATTGTTTACGAAGTTAAATAGTATCAGTGAAAGTCTTTGAATATGTATTTAACTTCCATCATGGTTATATTTAGTCATGCAAGTGTAAGTCATCACAAATATTACAAACAAGAACAAAATAAAAGAACATATCTCGTTTTCTATTATCGCTTGTCGTGATATGGATATATTTTTTTTAAAGGGGAGAAGGAATTTTACAAATATACATATTTGTTCTTGACTTTCACTTTCAATATCCTAAGATCTTGGGTCAGTATATATAAACTTCCACATAGATGAACCACTCATTTCTTTCTCCCAGATGTCATCAAACATTTCATTCTGGGCTTCTGTAAACCAATTCTTCCAATCACCAATTTGACCTAGAATAAAAAGAGAAGTCAAATACAAAATAACGTTCATTCCACGATATGAAGATTACTAGCATAAGACTGCACTATTTTATCATTGCGTATTCTAAAATTATATCTCAGTGTCAAAGTGTATTGATGATTTAAACAACCTTGGATATGACTCATCAATGCCATATTATCAAACAGAAAGACAATTTTACAAAAATCTTTCAAATTTGAAGCGTCTTAAAAGACTCAATTATTAAATCACCTAAATGTTTAAAAGAAAAAAAAGAAAATATTTCTATGATTTTTCCTATTCCGGTATAATTTTGTCCATTTAAGCATGTCTTTCTCAACGTATATTATGATAAAATCTTGAAGTTGTTTTCAATCACTCTCAAGTGTGCATAATCATGACCCTAATAGGGCTCTAACCCATGATCCCTGGATTAAGAGGATAGACCTCACCACTTAGTCACCGCTCCCCCCTAGAATACAAAATTTACAGTGATCATAAAATGCAAGTAAGTATATCAACTGATAGGATATCATATTTGGTTACACATTATTTTGAAATATATCAAAATCAAAAGAAGACAAACAAAAAATGTAAAGAATAAATTAGAATCATACCTTTCCTAAAGAATTCGAAATCAGACTTGAACAACATTTCTTTGACGGGAGGTGGGAGTTGTTTTTTCACCATATTATCAAACCCGCAATTATGTAATATATCTTTCTTCAAATTTTCTTCTAGTTCAACATCAAGGAACTTCAGCAACTTTTCAATTTCTTCAATTCCATTCTGTGTGTAGATTTATGTTAATATTTTACAAATTTAATTATGGTGAAATACAAATGAGCCGCGTCATGACAAAACCAACATCATGGGTTCGCGACCAGCATGGATCCAGACCAGCCTTCGCATCCGTGCAGTCTGATCAGGATCCATGCTGGTCGCTATCAGTCTTCCTACTTGTAGGGTTGGTAAGCGAACATCATGGATCCTGATCAGACTGCGCGGATGCGCAGGCTGGTCTGGATCCATGCTGGTCGCAAACCCATTATGTTGGTTTTGTCGTGACGCGGCTCAAATCTTTAATATCGTCTGTAAGTGATTTATTTAAATAACCGAATCCCATAATTTTCTAGGTGTACGATAAATATACTGAAATTTTTTAATTTTTTTTTAAAATATAAAAGAAAAGTTAAACCTACGATTTTCATGTCCTCGTAATACATAATGTGAAGGGGATACCCAACGCCATTTTGTATTTCATTTTCCCATTCTTTTAGATAATCTGTGTATTTCCCGTACTCTACTGTAAAATATATTTAAACATCTTATGCATACTGTGAAATTCATGTATTTCTTTATTCTATATATATGATTATTTGTCATTTATTGATTATTTGTTTAAAAGCCATTGGCAAACACAAACTAATTCAGGAAGAAAAACAAAGGAAAATATAAAAAAGATATGGAATAAAAATGTGAAAATGATGATGGCAGAAAGAAATCGATACATTTTAATTGCCAAAACATTAATCAACATGTATTCATATAATATTCTAGAAAGATTATTCGGAGTGTTTCAACATGTGTATACTAGTATGTGCTTCTATATATTCGTATAAAAGGTAAATAACTTTACAAAAACAATGGGTTTTTTACAAGCTATAAGAAAACATTCTCCTTGGTATCTTTATATTTTACCCACATTGTCAATTCAATATTGTCAAAACAAAAACTTTAAAATTTAAAAAAACATTTATAACTTTGCGCAAATTACTTTTCCCCCCTGAAGAAACACAGGCGCCAAATCCGCCCCCCCTTTTTTAACCTCGTAATTGAAATATTTTAATCCCCCTTTCTTTATGGTTGTAGAAAGGACCCCGGGCGGTGTTTTTTTGGGTTTTACGAAAACCCTACCCAGTTACCGGTTCCTTTTTTCTTTTTTAGCTTTAAATGCCCTTTTCCAACGGAAAAGGTAACTGAAAATATTTTCTTTTGGGGGTTAGTTTTTATCTGACAAGGTAAAACCCTTCAAAGGGGTTTTAAAATTTAAGGGAAAAAATTCCCCAAATTTCCGATTCTTATATTTTTCGAAAACCTATTTTAAAATTTAACTTGTTTATCTTTTCATCAGATGTTTTGCTTGTCTGAAAAATAAAATTTAAATTGGGTATGTAAAAAAAACAATAAAACTTTTGGGAATTTAAATCAACTAATTTACACCCTATTTGGGAAAAAAAAAGAAAAATTTTGCGTAGAAATTTCCCATTTGTTCGGGGGGGAAGTTTTAAGGGGGGTGCTTTTGGGGTTTTTGGGGCCAACTTTTCCAATAAAGGATAGAAAAATTTAAAAAGGGAAAAAAATTTGGGAGGGGTGCGGTGTCGGGGTTAAATAATTTCAGTCGAAAAGGGCCCCAAAGCATTAAAAATTTTTGTTCCCTTAACTGTTAGCTGGTTTGAAAAAATAGTGCCCGGGCAAATAAAATAAAAATTTTGCAACCCAAAACCCCCAAAGTGAAAATTTAATGGCTATGTCCGGGAATTTAAACCAGGGGTTTGGCCCAATTTTAAAATGAACCCAACTAAAAAAAAACCTTTGCTCTTTGATAATTTTCTTAGCAAATTTTTTTAAAAAAAATAAAACAAAAGTCAATTATGCAATGGCTGAAAAAAAAGGGGCAGGGATTCTTTTGGGAAAAAGGTTTTCTTTTGGTATACATCACTCTTAAAAAATGGCAAAAAATTTATTTCCCCAAAAATGAAAGTAAAACACCGTAAAAAGGAAAATGCCCATTTTTTACAACTTTTGGGGTGATGGTTGCCCTGCCCCAAAAAATTATAAAACAAACCGATTGGGAACTCCAGAAATTAAAAACCCGGGCCCTTGTTTCCCTTTTTAAAATTTTGTTAAAAGAAATTCTTTTTTAAAAATTCATCATAAGTATTTCATACAGCCAGTTCGTACCTACAAAAGTTGTTGCTACTTTTAAACAGAAAAATGTAATACAGTTGGTATATCTATTAAAAAATTCCTTTTTTATCCCAAATTTGAACATATAAATATTTTATTAATACTCTTAACGGTATCATGCTGAATAAATGGGTGTACCTGTTTTTGGATATGTACATAACATCAAATCACCATCCTTAAATTTGTATTCTGGAACTTTTTCGAAAATTTGCTTCGTCTCTTCAGGCGGCTTCATAAAGTCTGGAGTCACAAATCCGCCGACGTCGATTCCACGCATTGATGCATTACCAAGATCGTTTATCAATACTGATGTCATTCTGAAAATATTGCACATACTACATTGATTTTTTACGAGCAACCCTTTTTATACAAAAAGTCATTAGAGAATTTTGTAACGTTTATATGTACATGTATTTGTTAAACGCACAAAAAGCTTAAGAAATCAATATGAAGAACATTATTAACATACGAGAAAAATGAATAAATATATCCACTAATGAAAAAAAATATTACTTCAGGTTTTTATAACTTTTCAAAATGTTTTGTAGAATAAGTGGATATCGTCAAGTCCGTGTGATTCTCACGCCACGCCGGAAAAAAATATGATCTAATAGCATACCGCAAATGACTCATTAATAAATTTGTACAAATTAAAAACAAATTAAACTTAATCTAATACGTCACATCTGTCGTTTGCCACATAACTAACAATGAAGATTTTGAGTGATTAAAGACTAGTGAATGGTTGGTGAACGGATTTTCCAAATCTAGCTTGCTATTTAAGTTCGCTTGCGACGGGAAATGGTTGTTAACTTATAAGACTACATGGTGGTGTTTAAAGTTCTACTCGAACTACAACCTTTACTTCGGTATGTAAACAGTGAAATTGATTTCCTTAGAGTATAGACAATACTGGTAACTTAATCCATTCTTAATTATTATCATGCCAATATAATATTATTTAAAGTAAAGACACAAATGATAGTATAAACACTGTATAGTCATAAACACGATATTTATGAAGTAATTTTCTTTGATATGCTATCGCATCATTCTTAACAAAAATCAATGTGTTTAACATTGTGTAGTAACATTCTAAAGCCTTTATCGATACAATAAAAAGTGCGAGAGTACAAAATGCTTCCCATATATAAAGTTTGGCATATATATACAGTGTAAAGTCGCGATTTAAACTAATGAATAAAAGTAAATTTAACCTTACCCTACAGGCACTTTTTAAACATGAACTTAATCTTGAACCACATTCACGAATGAACTGATAGTGATAAAATATCTAGATACGATAACACATTTTAACAGTGGTGCAACCTGTACGGCGAGGAAAGTGTTTAACGATTTACTTTTTAAAATGTTATTATTCTCTATAAAAATGCCATATTTTCACAAGAATGTAAAAATATAATATATGTTAAAGCTACAAATGTCTAATGTTTTGCCAACCATACATTGTTCTTAAAATAATCATAAAATGACAGAGAAATAACTTAAATTACCTAAATAAAAACACTTAAAAATCGTACGAGATAACCTATTAGTACACCCCAGTAGGCTGTACGCGGTGAACACATACAAAAGCCCTATATCGTAAAGGTGTTAATAAATATTTTGAATACATATAAATTTAGAAATCACTGGTAGTGATGGATATATACTTCAAAGTCATATTATCGAACCCTTGTTGCCGAAAAAAACACAAAGTTTTAACTACAAAAAAAAACCGGAAGATCCCTTCGACCCTAGCCCAACCTTGTCCTCCGCACAAAAATAAAATGACATAAAAAATTTTAAAAGTACTTAAATTTTCATTTCACATAAATAATCATTATTATCAACATAAAAATATCTTTAAAAAATAAATGAATAGATAGCAGGCAGATTCTATGAATGTGCCTGACTATAATATAACGAATTGTTAACAAAATAAGTTAAATTTTACTACGCTCTCTTTTTTATCCCAATAGAAACATTTAAATATTTGTTAAAAAAAAAACAACAAACAAAAATTTTAAAAAACAAGCATTGTTCAAAGTACCTAGTATTCGTTTACCCGGATGTGATCTAATTTAAGTGATTTTGTAATAATATTGAAAGGAAAATACAAATTAAAACAAGCGTCATCAAAGTGAGTTTTTTTCACCAAGTAGAATGAATAGCGAATCGTTTAATGAAAGAAAGTCACGCAGATCCTTCTGTACACAAAGGTCATATTTGTTTTATTACCAGAACAGAATATGAAATTATTTATTTCACGCAGGAAATTACGTACAGAAATGAATGACCTGTGTTTTGTATTTGAACAGTTATAAAGTCAAGTCAATTCAAGCGCAAGGCATCATAAGGAAGTCCACATTTGATAAAAGTAGTAAAATTCAGTCTTGGATACACATACATTAAAAGAAAGAGAATTTAAAGAATAATCAACAAGTTGTTTTTGTAAATAAAACACATGTATACAACATGACTTACAGTCGAGCATCTGGGGGAAAAGACAGGTAGTTGTAGTTATTCAGCGCGCAAATTGTTTAGGGCATGGCTGGCTTCAGCCGTGCTTTAAATTATCAACAGAATTTACGAAACTTTCGTAATTTTAAAATGACATATAAATGTGAAGTGATTGATGTTTATAAATGAATGGAATTGAAAAATTGTTTTAAAAATCGCCTGCATTGGAGGAAAAGGGTATTTTACTGCTCTTGAAAGATAACCAAGGAAAATGTAAAATTTCTCCGCATAATCTTCGTCAACAACAAAAACGCTATTTATAACACAATTCAAACAACTTATACTTCGAGGTCCTTACATATATGCCGTCAATGAATAAAGGATATAATTCCTGCGTAATCGCGTGAAAGAGTGATCGTGTTACTGAAAAAAAAAACTGAGTTTCTAAATCGTTTTCTCGAGATCTTCTAATTTTCACATGTTTATTTTTATCTTCATCTACATTTTTCTATAAAGATTTATAGATTATGTAAGAAAAAAGATTAATATGTTATTAGAAATTAAACCGCAAACTCATTGACAAACGCAAACATTGGAGGCTGCTACATTTTGTGAAAAAGATATTTATCAAGTTTCCAGAATGGCTCGAATTCTTCGTATCAATAGAAATAATAATAATAAAATAATAGGAAAACGTGTATCTTTGCCGGAGACTTTTTATTTTAAGGTTTTTTTTTGTTTTTGTTTTTTGTGTTGGTGGTAATATAGAATTGAATAGCCCAATTCACTATGTGGCACTTTTTACAAACTGACGCAGATTTAACAAATAACTAATAAACTTTCTAATAAAAATGTATACACGAATTTTAGGGAATATATGCTGAAAAAAGACCTACTGAACACCACACAATGCTGAATTGAAACATCGCATTTTTATTCCGTTAGCCTGATAATTACGGGTATATTGTTTCTTTTTATACCATACTTTATTAATAACTATAGAATTATAGATCTTTACTAAACAATGTGTTTTATTTGACGAGGACTGTTTACTTGCTGTTTAATAAATAATATACTATTTGATGAAAAACTTTTGAAGGTCGAATCTATCTCCAAAATACCAGTTAGATAAGTGACTCAAAAGATTAGTAAGTCGGTTTGTTTAATTGTTTTCGAATATCGTCATAAGCAGAAACCCCACATAGAAAGGATCGTTTTTCGACCGACGTTTCTGAAAACACAACAGAAAGAACGCGAAAATATGAGATCGAATAATGCGGTGTCTACCCAAGTACACACGTTGTAACAAATCACATCAAATGTTTAAAGCAGTGTAACCATTTCAAACGACTTGTATTGTATTTCGATCAGTCATATGATCTGAGCGGACAAAAAAGGCGATCAAAGCAATATTTTTCAAAGTACGCCCCAGCTGTTTTCACTATAATGACTTGGTTGGTTTAGCATTTTGCATGTACTGAAGAGTAATTAGCTTCAAATTAAATGACAGATTCGATGGAATGTAAAATTTGATGATGTTACCTTGTTTGGTGCAAATTATTACCTGCTTTTTGTTGTATGCAGGTTTGTCATCTATTTTGTGTGACAGAAAGATACGGTGTCTGTCAGAAGTAAACTATTTTGTCGTTGCGTGGAAAAGTTATAGTAAACGCCCTATCACCGTGATTATGTCAAGTTCTACTAAGCGGCGAGAAGTAATAGAACTTTACTGTACGAGATATAGGTCTGCACCAGTGTGACAAGATCGTAACGATCGAGGTTTATAGTAGTTCATTTCCTCAAAGATGGAAAAATTAAGTATATATATATGTAGATTAAATAAAGTGAAATTTTAACAATTAAGAACCCAAATAACGAAGCGACCGGTAGGGAGCGACCGTTGGTTCTGAATTGTTAAAATGTTCACTAAATAAAATTTAACTCAGTGATTCTTACGCAACTGCAAAATTTTGTACCGGAAGTATACACAAGTTGATAAGTAACAACCGGAAAGATACATTTTTATGTAGAGAAATATTTATCAAGTGTCTCAAACGTTGCTCCATCTGGGTTAGGGTGTTCCGTACATTATCTGCTTATAAATTAGGGTGGTATTAAAATATCGACAGAATAATTCGAATTTGCACGAAAAGTATTGAAAACGAGTAGAATATTTTATCATTTTGCCATTTTTACAGATAAATAGGTTTAGCATAATTGGCGAATTTAAACAAAATAAAAACATTATTATCCTGCCCTGAAAATAGCATTTAAAACGAAATCTCAAGAAGTTTATGTTTAGCTACTGTTCAGATGAATAATCATGCAATGACTATATTTCATTTTCCTTTTAAAGCAGCATGCCTCAAGATCCATGCTTACTTTCATATGTAATTAAAGTGAGCTATTGTGAAATGAACAAAGGAACTATATTAAAAATTCAATTCACGTAAATTACAAAAAGAGGTCAAAATATGGAAAAGACCTTACTTCGTTCGCACGCAAGTAGTTCTATGGTGATAAATACTGCAACATCAGCAAATAATAGCACATAACATGTTAATCCTTAATTGGCTCTTGAATGTTGTTGCTTTTCTTTATACCTTATGATCAGTACCTTCTTATCAAGTTTGAATTTGTTGAATTTCTTGAAATAGTTTGGCTCATCTGGAAGTATGCAGCTTTTATATTAAGTTAATTAATTGTGATAGCTTGTGACGTACGTCCTATACATTGTCACAACATATGAATTGTTTATGACTAACAGTATTTATTGCTGAATTACTATATACATGTATTACAAATAATTGTTACATTGTAATAACATCCTTTTCTAAATTGTATATCCTACACTTCACTTGATTTTGTCACTTTACACAAGCAGCGGAAACGCGTCACAGGCTAATTTGTATACGGTTACCGCCGAGCTAGATATTTCGGTCTGTTTCGGCAGCGGTATATAATTCTTTTACGATGTTTCTGTTGATACTTAAAATTACTCAATTATCGACTGCTACATGAAACATTACATGTCTTTTAAAATGGTGAGGGTGCAGGGGCAAAAGCAACTGAACAACTGAATATGTTCATCATCTTAACGCTTCAACAACTGAAAACTGATTCATAAACAGATCTGGCAATAAAACATTTCTGCAAGGAAGCCTTCTACGTACACTTTCTATGTACAAACCGGGGACAGAAGTTAACTCCAATTTAGACATATTTGAAAACTATGCTTATAAGAAACAAATGTTTTAATTCGCAGTAACATTCTAAGACACAGACAAAAAGATTTCATGAAGATAAGTTAGTCTAAGATCGATTTTACCAGGCGATATTTTAGTCCACTTATATTAAAACTAGTACCAGGTAAAATGCATATACGCTATACAAACAGGAAAATAATATTATATATGAATGAAATAATACAAATATATAAGATTGTAATGTTATTTCTTATTGTA